AGAGAGAAGCCAACACACAACGTGGACTCTACTGTTGCCTCTCTGATGGCCTGGAGGAAGTTTTAGGCCTTAGGTCAGGAAGAGGAAACCCAAAGAAAGTCTGCCTCCTTGGGCTGAAGAAATAGATCTCAGAACATGAAGAGGCCAAGGTGGTTAGCGTCTGTGAGGTAGAATACCAAAGATGCAGATGCTGACAGCATGCTCCAGAGATCTGCAGAGGGCCAGCTCAGGCCTCAGGCTGGGCACTACTCTGTGTGCGCCTAGGAAACCTACCTGAGATGAGGTGAGGAACCACTACAGAGTAACATGATTGGTGATGCTTCCTATCTGCCAGCAGCCAGAGTGGAAAAATGAGAGTCTTGGGTAGAGCCAACAGAATTAAAAGTAGTGCTGGATAAGTCCACACCAAAGGCCACTCTTAATCTGTCTTTAAAAATCTTAAAAGCAAGATGGAAATCATTCCAGCACTATCTAAAGAAATAGAACAAAATATAATACCCGACAATGTGAAATTCATAAATCAGCAGGCAGCATCAAAACAGGAATGACCTTTCACCACAAGAAAAGAATCAATCAATAGAAACAGACTCAGGACAGACATGGAAATATTAGAAGATAAAAACCTTAAAATAGGTCTGGGGATGTAGCTTGGTGGTAGAATGCTTGTCCTGCATGCACAAAGTCCTGAGTTCAATCCCCAGTACAAAAAAAAAAAAAAACTTAAACTAACTCTAATTATATGGCCTACATGTTCAATAAAATATGAGGAAATGGCTATGATTGAAAAGATATTTGGAAAAAAGTCCAAATGGAACTTTTAGAGATTAAAAAGTACAATATCTGAAATTATTTTTTTAAAATATGAACAGCAGATTAGAGAGTGAAAATAAAAAGATCAGTTATTTTAAATACATAGCAAGAGAAATTATAAAAATAAAGAACAGAGAACAAAAAGGCTGAAGTGAGAGAAGGCTGGGAAATCAGGGGCCTGTTGGAAAATTCCAGGCGGTCTTACAAACAAATAGTTACAGTTCTAGAAGAAAAGATTAGGGACAGGAAACATTGAATGAAATTATGGTTGAAATTTTTTGATGTGATTTTTTTTTAAAAAAAAATGCTAATCTCAAAGATTCAAAAAATGCTAAGCTCAACAAACTCATAGTAAACATAAAAAATACACAAAGGCTCATCAAAATCATAACACTGGAAGTCAGTGATAAAGAGGAAATCTTAAAATCAGAGGAAAAGACAGAGTGTGCACAGAGGGGAAAAAAATTAAAAGAATGACATTGAACTCCCAATAAGAGACTACGCAGATGGAAGGTCATGGACTCGCCTGGTTAAGCTACTAAAAGAATTAAAGATCAAAGCAAATTGTATATTCAGAAAAGATTTTCTTCAGAACTGAAGGGAAATAAAAATATGTCCAGACAAATAAAAGATTTGAAAATTTATTACCAGCAGACTCCCCTAACCACCCCCCAACAAATGTTAAAGCCAATGCTTTGAAGGAAGAAAAATGAGCCGGATGGAAATTGGTATAGGAACCTGAGAATAAACGGTGGCAAATAGGTAGAATCTTCCTCATTTATAGTCTCTTGGAAAGATGATTGAGTGCTTACAGAAAAAATAATTGTGTTGAGGATTTTATTTCATATTCCAAAATAAAAGAATAATAACAGTAGCATAAAGGCCAGAGGGAGAAAAAAGCAAGTTCATTCATAAAAGGCTCTTACACATATCTTGAAGAGATAAAATGTTATTTGAAAGCACACCATAATAAATCAAAAATTTATGTTGTAGGGCTTCAAGAAACTACTGAAAAAAATATAAGACCAAAGTATAAATGAGTCAGAAATTGAGATAAAATGGAAATGTGAAAACAACTCAAATAACCCAAAACAGAAGTTAATAGACTTGAAAAAAAAATGAAATGCAGATAGACAAAATAGAAAACAAACATATTGGAAGATCTAAACCCAATGATATCAGTAACCATACCCTATACCAAAAATCATAGCAACTCATTCATTCACTTATTCACTAAATATTGATTATATTCTATGTGCTGATCATTGCCATCTTATTGAGAATATATGGTGAATCAAAGTGTCAAGGTGTCACCTCTCAAACAGCATTGAGAGTACTAACAAGTGCAAATAAGAAAGTTTTCAATTAAAAGTCATGTGCTGAGGGGTCATGGGGGTACAAAAGATGGTGGAATGAGATGGACATCATTACCATAGCTACATGTGTGATTGCACAAATGGTGCGTCTCTACACTGTGTATAACCAGAGAATTGAAATGTTGCGCTCCATTTGTGTACGATGAATTGAAATACATTCTGCTGTCATGGACAACTAAGTAGAACAAATAAAAATAATAATAATAAAATATATTACTAATATGATACCAAAAGAAAAAAAATGTCCTGTGCTGTATTCCTTAGTAAACAGGAGATGTCAGGAGGGACCTCTAACCTCCACCATATATGAAATGGACCAAAGACCTAAATTTTAAGAGCTAAGGTTATCAGACTCTTCAAAGTAAACACAGGGGCAAGTCTTCAAGGTTTTTTATTTGCAACAGATTCTTACATCTGACACCAAAAGCACAAGCAAGAAAAGAAAAATACAGGTAACTGGACTTTATCAAAATTAAAAACTCTGGTGCCTCAAAAGACATTCTCAAGAGAGTCCAAAGTCAACCTACAGAATGGGTAGAGACATCTGCCAATCCTTGATATGATAAGGAGATCATACTTCAACATCTGGAGAACTCTTCCAACTCAATAATAAAATAACACACAGTCCAATCAAAAACAGAAAAGAAACGCATTTGAATACAATGTTTCCAAAGAAGATGAGCAAACTAACAAGCACCTAAATGGATGCTACCATCGTTGGTCATTAGGGAAATGCAAACCCAGACCCCAGTGAGCACCCACATGACATCCAGCAGGACACCCTTAATGTTGTAAAAAGTTGCCTAGTATATATAAGCCCCTGGCTTCTATCCCTAGTACCACAATCTACCAATCAATTTAAAAAGGAAAATAGCAAGTGTCATTAAGGATATGGAGAAATTGGAACCCCCCCACAGTCAGTGGGAATGTAAGATCATGACGCCGTGTCCAGGGGAAACAGTCTCTGTTTGCTCCAAAAGCAAAATGGACCCAGAGGCACAGACAGCGGGGACTTGAATAGACACATGTAGCCTATGTCCACTGCAGTGTTCTTCACAACGGCCCCAAAGCAGGACCAACTCCAGTGTCCACCCACAAATGAACAGACAAACAGAATGGCTACCCACTGATATCTTACGCCATAAAAAGAAGTGAAGTCCTCAGGGGTGATGGAACCAGATAGAGGTGGTGTTTGCACGACATTGTGAGTGTGCTAAATGCCTCCAAACTGACCCCTTTAGAAGGGTAACTTTGTTTATGTGAATTTTACCACAAATAGAGAGAAGAGAGACAAAGAGATTGAGAGAGAGAAGGCCTTGTGTATTAGGGAAACGATGACTTGATATTTGTGATATTAAGGGATTATTGCTTTTGAGGTGTGATAAGGCTATCAGGTTCTGATGTTCTAAATCTGTGACCATGAAATGATATGTAGGATTTGCTTTAAAGCATTTCACAGGGGGAACATCAGGAGGTACCCCAAAATGGTATTGATCTTTGTTGAAAATAACTGAATCTGCTGATGGAAATACAGGGGCTTATTTGCTACTCTTTCCATTTTTGTACACTTTTGAAATTTTGCATAATAAAAAGCTTGTCTGATCCTCGAGGGCAGGATGGTGTCTTCCTCCCCAGCTCAGCAAGCAGGAGGCTTTGCGTTGCCAAGGAATGAATGAATCTCGTGACAGACCCCTGCACGTTCTCCTCCTGGGAACAGAGGGAAGAGAGAAGGAAGGTGTTGGACAGACGTGGGTGTGGACGTCAAGGCAAGTGAGCAACAGAGTCCAGATAAGGTCATGCTCCGCACAACCCAGGGGAGCCCAGGCACAGCAAGGATGACTGACTCCACAAGCTGTCAGGACACTAGATGGGCTTGTCACCAGCCCTGCACACAGAGCACGCTGCTCTGCCTCTGTCTCTGTGCCCCTGTCCCCTGGGCCTGAGCCCACAGAGTGAGCAGGTGTGTGTCACCCCTCTTGCCCCCAGAATATAGCTCTAGTCCTGGCCCATGGCAGACTCGAGTGAGTGAAGGAATTTGGGGGCTGCAAGCACCAGTGTCTCACCAAAGCCACCAAGAGGCTCGTCAAGCAGCAAATAGACCATTAGGGTCTGTCTATGACATGACCCCAAAGGCTCATGTGCGGCAGACTTGGTCCCTAGTGCGGCAATGTCCAGAGACGGGGCTTTGGGTCTTGAGGGCTCTGACCTCGTCAGTGGATTAATCCACTTGCTGAATTAGAGTGGATTATTGAGAGATGATGTGCACTGTAGGAAGTGGGTCTCGTTGGAGGAAGTGGGTGACTGGGGACGTCTCCTGGCAGGTTTTACCTTCCCTAGTCCCTCCTCTGTCTCTGTCTGTCTCTCTGTCTGTCTCTATCTCTGTTTCCCAGCTGCTGTGAGCTGAGCAGCTGTCCTCTCCCAGGCCCTTCCTCAGTGACATGCTGCCTCACCTCGGTGCTAAGCGATGAAGCCAGCCCACCATGAGCTGAGCCTCGTGCAGCCGTGAGCCAAAATAAACTCTCTTCCTCTGGGTTGTTCTCACAGGTATTTTTCACAGCCTTCTCACACCGGGCGGACAAGAGCAGACTGGCTGGTTCTGTCAAGAAATAAACGATACAGAACAAACCTTCGCAGACAGAGGAGCCTTTCCTAGAGGCTGTGTGCCAGCTGACCCTTCCCTATACAGAGGGGGACCTCAAATTCACTGAGGTCCAAGGCTGCCCAAGGTCACACGGAAAATGGATGGCAGAGCAAGGGAACGTGACGAGGATCGATTCTGTCAATTATTTACCCAAATCCAGAGGGGCCAAGAGGGGCCAAGTGGACTGTCGCAAGGGGAGCTGGGAATGGCCTGGTGCTGGGGGAGAGGTCCCAGAGGGCCAGGGAAGGCCGAAGCCAGAGAATGGGGTTTTGCAGAGGGTAGACCACGATCCCTCTGCTAAGCACACACCCTGCTGAGCACCGGGAATTGAGCAGTGCCTGAGACAGAGTGTCTGCCCTCAGGGGGCTTCCAGTGGGGAGCCAGATAAATACACCATGTCATTGCAGCAGGACACAGGATAAACAAGGCCAGCAAAAGGTGGCCTCTGAGGAGGGATGAAACAAGCAATCCAGCTGTGGAAGGAACTGGAGAACAGCCGTTCCAGACAGCTGACAGCAAGTGCAAAGGACCCGAGGCAGCGGCAGCGATAAGCCTGGTAAGTTCTAGAATTGCAAGAAGGCTGCAGCAGCTGGAGCCAAGGGAGGGAGGGGAAGGACAATTAGAGGTGAGGTTGGGAGGCCGGTAAGAGCCTGACAGGTAGGGCTTCCTCTCCAAGTGGTGGGATGAGAGGCATAGGATTTGTCCCAATGTGAAGGGCAGGGGACATTCAGAGTAGAGGAGCATGTTCCGATTTACCATTCACAGGACCACGGTGGCTCCTTAGGGGAGGAAAGGCCATCCAGGCCCTTACTAAAATAGATTCCAGGCTCCACCAGGGCCTCAGGTCCCTTTGGACAATAGCATGTGTCACCTCCTAGGTCCCTTTGTGCTCCTACAGCCCTGTGACAAGACGGTTCTCAGCACCATCCCACAGAGCAGAAGTCAACGTCCCAAGGGGCAAAGTAATTAACGAAAGTCACTGAGGCCACCCCTCTCCTCTGGTTCCTCCAGGCAACTCCCCTCCTCCTCTCCCCTCCTCCCCTCCCCTCCTCATCTCCTCCCCTCACCTCCTCACCTCCCCTCCTCACCTATCCTCCTCACATCCCCTCCTCCCCTCCCCTCCTCATCTCCTCCCCTCACCTCCTCAACTCACCTCCTCACCTCCCCTCCTCACCTCCTCTCCTCATCTCCTCCCCTCACCTCCCCTCCTCATCTCCTCCCCTCACCTCCCCTCCTCCCCGCTCCTCCTCATTTCCTCCCCTCCCCTCCTCACCTCCCCTCCTCACCTCCCCTCCTCCTCTCCTCCCCTCACCTCCTCCCCTCCTCACCTCCCCTCCTCCTCTCCTCTCCTCCCCTCCTCCCCTCCCCTCCTCCCTCCCCCCCCTCCCTCTCCTCCCTCCTCCCCTCCCCTCCTCCCTCCCCTCCTCCCTCCCCTCCCCTCCTCCCTCCCCTCCTCCCCTCCCCTCCTCCCTCCCTCCTCCCTCCCCTCCTCCTCCCCCTCCCCTCCTCCCCCTCCTCCCTCTCCTCCTCCCTCTCCTCCTCTCCTCCCCTCCTCCCCTCCCCTCCTCCCCTCCCTCCCCTCCCCCTCCTCATCTCCTCCCCTCCCTCCTCCCCTCCCCTCTCCCTCCCCTCCTCCCTCTCCTCCCCTCCCCTCCTCCCCTCCCCTCCTCCCTCCCCTCCTCTCTCCTCCCCTCCCTCCTCCCTCCCCTCCTCCTCTCCCCTCCTCACCTCTCCTCCTCCTCTCCTCCCCTCCCTCCTCCCCTCCCTCCTCCCCTCTCCTCCTCCCTCCCCTCCTCCCTCTCCTCCTCTCTCCTCTCCTCCCTCCTCCCCTCCCCTCCTCCCTCCCCTCCTCCTCTCCTCCCCTCCTCACCTCACCTCCTCCCCTCTCCTCCTCTCCTCCCCTCCTCCCCTCCCCTCCTCCCCTCCTCACCTCCCCTCCTCACCTCCTCACCTACTCTCCTCACCTCTCCTCCTCACCTCCCCTCCTCATCTCCTCCCCTCCTCATCTCCTCTCCTCACCTCCTCCCCTCCCCTCCTCCCTCCCCTCCTCCTCTCCTCCCTCCTCTCCCTCCTCCCTCTCCTCCTCCTCTCCTCCCCTCCCTCCTCACCTCCCCTCCTCCCTCCCCTCCTCCCTCCTCACCTCCTCTCCTCCCTCCCCTCCCTCCCTCCCCTCCTCCTCTCCTCCCCTCCCTCCTCCCCTCCCCTCCTCTCCTCCCCTCCTCTCCCCCCCCCTCACCTCCTCCCCTCCCCTCCTCTCCTCCCCTCCTCCTCTCCTCCCCTCCCCTCCTCCCCTCCCCTCCTCCTCTCCTCTCCTCCCCTCCTCCCCTCCCCTCCTCATCTCCTCTCCTCATCTCTCCTCCTCATCTCCTCCCCTCACCTCCTCCCCTCCTCACCTCCCCTCCTCATCTCCTCTCCTCCCCTCCTCCCCTCCCCTCCTCACCTCCCCTCCTCCCTCCCCTCCTCCTCTCCCTCCCCTCCCCTCTCCCCTCCCCTCCTCCCTCCCCTCCTCTCCCCTCCCTCCCCTCCTCACCTCCCCTCCTCCCTCCCCTCCTCCTCTCCTCCCCTCCCCTCCTCCCTCCCCTCCTCACCTCCTCCCTCCCTCTCCCCTCCCCTCCTCCCTCCCCTCTCACTCCTCCCCTCCCTCCTCCCCTCCCCTCCTCCCTCCCCTCCTCCCTCCCCTCCCTCTCTCCTCCCCTCCCTCCTCCCTCCCCTCCTCCCTCCCCTCCTCCTCTCCTCCCCTCCCCTCCTCCCCTCCCCTCCTCACCTCCCCTCCCCTCTCCTCCCCTCCCTCCTCCCTCCCCTCCTCCCTCCCCTCCTCTCTCCTCCCCTCCCCTCCTCCCTCCCCTCCTCCCTCCTCCCTCCTCTCCTCCCCTCCCCTCCTCCCCTCCCCTCCTCCTCTCCTCCCCTCCCCTCCTCGCCTCCCCTCCTCCCCTCCCCTCCTCCTCTCCTCCCCTCCCCTCCTCCCCTCCTCACCTCCCCTCCTCATCTCCTCCCCTCCCCTCCTCCCCTCCCCTCCTCCCCTCCCCTCCTCCCTCCTCCCTCCTCTCCTCCCTCCCCTCCTCCCTCCCCTCCTCCCTCTCCTCCCCTCCCCCTCCCCTCCCCTCCTCCCTCCCCTCCTCTCTCCTCCCCTCCCTCCTCCCTCCCCTCCTCCCTCTCCTCCTCTCTCCTCCCTCCCCTCCTCCCTCCCCTCCTCCCCTCCCCTCCTCTCCTCCCCTCCCTCCTCCCCTCCCCTCCTCCCTCCCCTCCCTCCTCCTCCCCTCCCCTCCTCCCCTCCCCTCCTCCTCTCCTCCCCTCCCTCCTCCCTCCCCCTCCTCTCTCCTCCCCTCCCTCCTCCCTCCCCTCCTCCCTCCCCTCCTATCTCCTCCCCTCCCTCCTCCCCTCCCCTCCTCCCTCCCCTCCTCCCTCCCCTCCTCCCTCTCCCCTCTCTCCTCCCCTCACCTCCTCCCCTCCCCTCCTCCCTCCCCTCCCTCTCCTCCCCTCCCCTCCTCCCTCCCCTCCTCCCTCCCCTCCTCTCCTCCCTCTCCTCCTCACCTCCCCTCCTCTCCCTCCCCTCCCCCTCCCTCCCCTCCTCCCTCCCCTCCTCTCTCCTCCCCTCCCTCCTCCCTCCCCTCCCCACCTCCCCTCCTCACCTCCTCCCCTCCCCTCCTCCCCTCCCCTCCTCACCTCCCCTCCTCATCTCCTCCCCTCACCTCCTCACCTCCCCTCCTCACCTCCCCTCCTCCCCCCCTCCCCTCCCCCCCCCCCCTCCCCTCCTCCCTCCTCCCCTCCTCTCTCCCTCCCCTCCTCCCTCCCCTCCTCCTCTCCTCCCCTCACCTCCTCCCCTCCTCCCTCCCCTCCTCCTCCTCCCCTCCTCTCCTCACCTCCCCTCCTCACCTCCCCTCCTCCCCTCCCCTCACCTCCTCCCCTCCCCTCCTCACCTCCCCTCCTCATCTCCTCCCCTCACCTCCTCCCCTCCCCTCCTCACCTCCCCTCCTCATCTCCTCCCCTCACCTCCTCCCCTCCCCTCCTCACCTCTCCTCCTTATCTCCTCCCCTCCCCTCCTCACCTCTCCTCCTCACCTCCCCTCCTCATCTCCTCCCCTCCCTCCTCCCTCCCCTCCTCCCTCCCCTCCTCTCTCCTCCCCTCCCCTCCTCCCTCTCCTCCTCACCTCCCCTCCTCTCTCCTCCCCCTCCCTCCTCCCCTCCCCTCCTCCCTCCCCTCCTCTCTCCTCCCTCCCCTCCCCCCCTCCCCTCCTCCCCTCCCCTCCTCTCCTCCTCCCCTCCCCTCCTCCCCTCCCCTCCCCCCCTCCCCTCCTCCCCTCCCCTCCTCCCCTCTCCTCCTCCCCTCCTCACCTCCCCTCCTCACCTCCCCTCCTCACCTCTCCTCCTCATCTCCTCCCCTCCCCTCCTCCCCTCCCCTCCTCACCTCCCCTCCTCCCTCCCCCCCTCCCTCCCCTACTCCTCTCCTCCCTCTCCTCCTCACCTCCTCACCTCCCCTCCTCCTCCCCTCCTCACCTCCCCTCCTCACCTCCCCTCCTCATCTCCTCCCCTCCCCTCCTCCCTCCTCTCCTCACCTCTCCTCCTCCTCTCCTCCCTCCCCTCCTCCCTCCCCTCCTCACCTCTCCTCCTCATCTCCTCCCCTCCCCTCCTCCCCTCCTCTCCTCACCTCTCCTCCTCATCTCCTCACCTCCCCTCCTCACCTCCCCTCCTCCCCCCCCTCCTCCTCTCCTCCCCTCCCCTCCTCACCTCCTCTCCTCACCTCTCCTCCTCATCTCCTCACCTCCCCTCCTCACTTCCCCTCCTCACCTCTCCTCCTCATCTCCTCCCCTCCCCTCCTCACCTCACCTCTCCTCCTCATCTCCTCACCTCCCCTCCTCACCTCCCCTCCTCACCTCCCCTCCCCTCCTCCCCTCCTCCCCTCCCCTCCTCCCCCCCCCTCCCCCCCTCCCCTCCTCACCTCCCCTCCTCACCTCCTCACCTCCCCTCCTCCCCTCCCCTCCTCCCCTCCCCTCCTCCCCTCCTCACCTCCTCTCCTCACCTCCCCTCCTCATCTCCTCACCTCCCCTCCTCACCTCCCCTCCTCACCTTCCTCTTCACGGACTCTCTGCAAGTCCAAGACCAGGAGTGAGAATCAGGTCTGGGATTTGAGCTAAGTGGATCCCCCAAGGCACAGATCTGGTATTGGGTGGAACCAGGATTCAAAGAAGGGTCCACTGGGGGAGGCTCAGAGTTATCAGATGAGCCTGAGCAGGAGGAGGCAGGAGAGGTTGTGGGGGGCTCCCAGGCCACAGGAAGGACGAGAGAAGGGCTCAGCTGTGGCGGAGACCCATGGCCGCTCCCCAGCCCAGGGACGGGCCTGGAGGAGGCAGGAGTGCCCCTAGAGGCCCTAAGTGTCCCCAGTGCACTGCAGCCCGGGCTCCCTGCGGGCGCAGGTGTGGGTGCTTTGTGCAGACAGACGATGGCCAGGTGCAGACTTCACCCACCAGCGCCACCCCAGGCTGGGTTCAAGTCCTGGCTCCACCGCCCACCGGCTGCTGGACCTTGAGCAAGTTTCCTAACCCTTCTAAATGTGTCTTCTTATCTCTCAAATGGGGGTGTAAAGACAAGGTCTCCCCCACTGGGCCGAGGACGCCTGGCACAGAGCAGAGGTGGCAGAGGTGGCGGGTTCTGCCGTCACTGAGGTGCTCGTTGCTGTCTTGCAGGTCGCCTCCACTTTCAGACCAAGGGCCCTAGAGGATGGAGGCCTCAGGGTGGTGGCCGCTGGTCACTGTGCTCATGGCTGCAACTCCTCTTCTGGCCCAAGGAGACTCTGAGCTCGCGAACCCTGGCCCCAAAGACAGCCCTTCCAGGCCGGCCCTGCCCTGCCACAGAATCTCCGTGAGCAACATCGACTTTGCCTTCGGCCTGTACAGACGGCTGGCGCTGGGCGCCCCTGGAGAGAACATCCTCTTCTCCCCGGCGAGCATCTCCCTGGCCTTGGCCACAGTTTCCCTCGGGGCCCCGGCGGCCAGCAGGACCCAGCTCCTGGAGGGCTTGGGGTTCAACCTCACCGTGACGTCCGAGGCCGAGATCCAGGAGGGCTTCCAGGATCTGCTGCTTAGGCTCCCCACGCGGGGGTCCCACCTGCTCCTGACCACAGGCCAGAGAAGCTTCCGCAGCCTGGACCCCGGAGCCACCCAGAAACACATCAAGGAGTATGTGGAGGAGCAGACCCAGGGGAGACTTGGGGCCTGGGTGGAGGACCTCCGGGAGGAAGGTGCTGAGGTTCTGGTGAATCACGTGGCTCTCAGAGGTAAGTGCGCCTCCCAGGCAAGTCCTTCTGGGCCCCCGGCTCTGGTCATGCCCTCGTCCTGCTCCTCACAACCAATAGAAGCTTCCTCAGCCTCCCTCGACTTTTGGATAGAAGGCACTCAGCGTCTGTCCACTGAACCCTGGATGCTTCTGCCTGTTACCTGCAGTGATGGGGCTCCCCACCACTTCTTAATGTTAATTGTTGAGATTGTTTTCAAAGAAGAATCTCCAAACCTTTAATGTGCTTAAGAGCTCCCTGGAGAGCTCATCCCTAGGGATTCTGACTCAGTGGGTGGGCAAGTCCCCAGAGAACCAGACCCCCTTCCTCCACAGGGGACTCTGCTGCAGGGGGCTGGGGTCTTCCCTGTGCGCAGCCCCATGAGCCACCGCTGAATTACAGGGCATGGGTCCCCCTCCTCTGGAAGGTCCCAGGAAATGTGGGTTCACCAAGAGAGTCCTGAAGCAGAGGGTCCTTTATTTTTTTCCAAAAGAGCAAAGAGGCCTGCACTCCCACCAGAGGGGGTCGGTGTCCCTCACTAGCCAGTCCCGACTGATGGGAGGTTTCAGCCCATTGCTTTGGGCCCGAGCTCAGGCAGCGCACCAGGGCCCCTCACCTGACAGAGCACAGCTGCTCACTCCACAGCCAGGAAGCAAAAGAGAGGACGAGAAAGAGCCTGGGGTCCCACAGTCCCCCCATGACCTGCAGACCTGCAACCAGGCCCCACCCCTTAACATTTTCACCACGTCCCTCTGAACCACCTTGGGGACAAGCCTTCCACACACGGGCCTTGGGGGACATTCAAAATCCCAGGTGTAGCAGGGTGGTAGTACCTTTGCAATTGTAACACTACTAAATTATTGTAAAAACAGAAAGAGAGAAGCTCACACAGGACGAGGGCTCGGCCCCCTGGGGTCACCTGGGTAATAAGGGCCAGGTCAGGAGCGGGTCGTGGAGCAGGGGGGGCTCTGCATCCAGGACTCAGTGCCTCAGCCCCACCCCAGCTGCCACAGGTGACCCCGGGCCCTCCTCTGTTCTCTGCAAGGACAATGTGGCTTTTCCCTCCCCCTCAGCTGAGTGGGCACAGCCCTTCGACCCCGGGGCCACCAGCCTGAAGGCGTTCTTCCTGGACGAGCGCAGGGCTGTGCAGGTCCCCATGGTGAAGCAGAAGGCCAGCCACCGCTTCCTCCACGACCCCGAGCTGCAGTGCACCGTGCTGCAGATGGACCACGCGGGGAACGCCACCACCTTCTTCGTCTTCCCCAACAGGGGCAAGCTGGGGCAGGTGGAGGAGGCGCTGCTGCCCGAGACGCTGATCAAGTGGGACAGTCTGCTCAGGACCAGGTGGGCTCCCAGCAGGCCGGAGGCAGGGCCTCACCTCCCTGCCCAGACCCCAGGGCGCTGTCACACCCCACGGCCCTGCCACTCCTGGGCCTGGTCACACCTGGCCCAGACAATGTCACCTCTAGGTGAGGTCCCTGGTCTCCCTGAAAGCACCATCATGGGCCCTGACCAAGACTCTGGAATCCAGTTCTGGTCCCGGCTCTGCTGCAGACTAGGCAGCGCCCTGGGCAAGGGCCTCCCTCCCAGGATCCGGGTTTCCTCAGAGGTGGAAGGCCAGTGACAACCACAGGGACATGTAAACGGTCACTCTGTTCTATGGTAGCACCCTGCCCGTGCTGGGGTCCGGCAACCTGCACAGCAAGCCCCAGCCCAGCCTTGTCCCTAAGAAAGAAAAGGACCCAAGAGGCCTGGTGAGACAGGGCGTCCAGGAATGAGGAGCGGCCTGGCTGGTCCAGGGAGCCCGAGGGAGACAGGAACAGGGAGGAGTGTGGACAGGTGCACGGGCTGGAGCCCCAGGCCCTGGACATGCAGGCACGAGGCAGACGCTGAGCACAGGAGCTGGGCACCACAGAAAGCTCTCACCCTGCCCACGGCTGGCAGGGGGTAAGTGGGGCAGAGACCAGAGGCAGGGAGAGGCCACAGGGAGAGGCCGCAGGGCTGGTGGAGAGCTGGGGCGGAAGGGGCCCCCTGGGACTCACACAGGCCCTTCCCAGATCTGCTCAGCAAACCAATTTCTGTCTCTCCACAGAGAACTCGACTTCTACTTCCCCAAATTTTCCATTTCCAGCACCACCAGACTAGAGACGCTCCTCCCACGAGTGCCTGTGGGCGGAGGCCTCCCGGGGCAGCCTGGACGGGGCATCTCTAGGGTAAGTCCAGACGGGGCCCAGTGGGGGCTTCTGATAATCCCTGGAAGCTGCGGGACCCACTCAAGGTGACATGCTATCTGCCTTAACCTTCAGGACCATGGCTTCGCCGCCCCCGTTCCACACCACTGCAACCCCCTGTGCCAAGACGCCGGGCTCTCTCTGGAGCTGGCTCAGGTCAGGCCAGGCCCCACAAAGGAATGAAAGGAAACCCACAGAGCCAGCCCCCTGCCAGGGAGGAAGCAGAGGGCAGAGCTGGAGGCTGGGGGAGGGTGACAGCCTCACCCCCACACCTCCCTGTCCCCTTCTCAAGGACATTCACCAGGCCCAGCCCCAACCAGGTGCCACATCAGCACCCCCCAGTGGACAGATGAGGCAAGTGCTGCCATCCCATTTTGTAGATGAGATTGAGTTTGCAGTGTATTAGTTCCTGTGCTGCTTCAGTAACAGACTACCAGGGACCAGGTAATCTGTAAATTGACTACCTCATGGTGCCGGAGGCTGGGGAGCCCGAGGTGAAGGGGCTCCGCCTGGTGAGTACTTCTGGCTGTGTCATAACAAGGAGGAAGTCCAAGCCAAAGCTCAGAGAGAAAATGGGCCCAATCCTCCTTCCTTCAGGAACCCATTGCTGTGGTGACCGGCCCCTCGCCCGTGGTGGCATTAATCCATTTGTGAGATCAGAGCCCCCACAGTCTAATCCCCTCAAAGGCCTGCCTCTTAGTCCTGCTCCTGGCAATGACTCTCCACACGGGCCTTGGAGGGGCCAAGGGAATTACCCCCAGTGACCACGCTAGTTAGTGTCCAGCCAGGATCTGGGCCCGGGCAAGTCGTTGAGCACCGGGACCTGCATTTGTCTCCTCAACCATCCCTGGGCACCTCCCCATTACCCGCATGTCACACACACCCCAGAGGGGACAGTGGGTTTGAGGCCAGGCAGGCCTAGGCCTGGCTTTGTCTCACCTTAGCTGTGTGGCCTTGGGCTACATCACCTCTCTGGGCGATTGGGACCCTGGACCCTGTCTCAGGGGGAACACCTTGTCCAATGTCACAGCAGCACAGGGTCCTCCAGCTTCAGGCTAGGTGAAGTTTCACACTCAGCAATGGTGATAAAAGAGATGTGATGGTGGAGTGAGGAATTGGTTGGCCCTGGACAGAGCTGGGGTACAAAGATAGAGCCGTGAGCAGAGCAAAGTTAGCATCAGGTGGATGCAGTGGCAGGACAGACCATGAGCACACAAACAGACCTGCAATAGGTCAGGTGGCAATAAACCCACAGATATAGCAGTGTAAGTGGGTGGGGATGGGGTCTGTCCAAGGAACACTAGTCTTGGAGTTCTTGATGGGAAAGTGACCTGAATAAGGGGAGGAAAGGAGTTCTTGGTAGAGTGCTCAATATGTGCAAAGGCCCTGAGGCATGACCACGCCATCCAAAGCCAGTGAGGCTGGAACACAGTAGACAAGAAGAAGTGCCGTGGGAGGTGGAGAGGACAGAACTCTTCAAGATCAATAAGACTTTGATTTCCCCAAGAGTGAGACAGAACTCCACAGAGGGCTTTAACAGAAGAGTGATGTAATGAATTCCCCTAAGTTAGAAAAAGATAATAAATTACACAGGGGTGAGAGCACAGAGCAGCTGAAAGGCGATGGATGAGGGGGAACAGGTGGAGCTGGGATTTGGACCTGGGCAGATAGTTCCCAAGTCCAGGCTTGTACGCGTGTCCACAGTGCCCTCAGGAGGCTGTGACGGCTCTATAAATGAGGGAGATGGTTCCCGTTCAGCTCCTCCCTGTCCCGTTTCTCTTGCACCCAGAACTCGAGACCCCCTGTGATCTTCTCTACCCATCAGCTCACGGGAGGGTGATGTGTGGTCATGGACCTCACCTGTGACTGCCGTACCCATCACCTGCAAGAACTGAGCTGGATCCTAGAGCCAGGCCCCGCCCTCATTCCGTGGCCCCGCCCTCATTCCGTGGCCCCGCCCAGTGTCTTGCTGGTCCTCCTTAACCTCTTTCCTCTCTAAGCACTCCTTGGTTTCCATGGAAGCATATTCTTCAGAACTCTCCTGCCAACTCCAGGATGAAGCCCCCTCCTCACTGATCTGCTTCCTCCCTTGTCTCATCCTAACTACCTGGCCAGCCCTGTCCCCTACTGTCTCTGCCGTACCACTCCACGGAATCTCATGGGGCCATAGATGTCCTCAGCTTCCCCCTCCCTGTCTTGGCTTGGACTTTCAAACATAAAAAAAAAAAAAAAAAAAAACCACCTGAAGTGTCTTCACTCATCTCCAAAAATCCAAATTCTACCTCCTCTGTGGAGCTTCCTCTGACCTTATCCCTCACCCTTGCACCCGAAGCAGAACCAGTCTCCCCTGGCAAGCCCCCGCCCTTGGTTTTCGATGTCTTCTCTGCCCTATCAAACAACAAGTGCCTTGGGGGAGTCGTGCCCATAGCCCCCTGCTGTGCTTGGCACTGTGGACCCTATATACTCCATAAATATTTACTGAATCTATTCATGAATGAATTAGGGATGGAATTAATGGAAACGAATGATCAAAATAATGTGAATGAAAGAATCAGTAAAGGATGGGTGGAAGAGTCGTTGTATGGACACGGGAAGAAATGAGTGGAGAAACGGGTGGGTAGATGCCGGCGTGATATTCAAAATACACTGCAACCTGCATAATGCAGATGCCAGCAGTGGAAACTTAAACAGAGGGGCAGAGAGGTGGATCGGGAACAGAGGGGATCATGTAGGGAGGATGGATGGGTGGTGAGTGTATGGGTGATGCATGGAGGGGGGGAAAGATGGACGGATTGTGGATGGATGGATGGATGGATGAGGAATGGATGGTGGATGGATGGATGGATTGTGGATGGATAATTGATGGATGATGGACAAGTGAATGAGTGAGTAGATGGCTATATGAACACATAAGCAGTAGATGAATGAAGTCACAGTTAAGCAGATAGTTGACAGGTTAGGTGGATGGATTATGGTTTGCAACCATAATCCCACGATATGGCCCACGCACCACAACCTCTGTTGCAGAATCAATAAATGGGTCAGTGGATCAATGATAATGGACAGGTGTATTTAAGAGTACTAGGTGGATAGATGAGTGAATTTTTCAAAAGGCAGACGCAAGGATGGGTGAAGGGGTAAGTGGGTGGATGGACAAGTATGCGGACATGCAAAGGAAGAGAAAGAAAATTGGGGTTGAGTGATGATTCCAGAATTTTTTGTACAGGTGACTCATAAGGCCACCATGACTCTGGAGGAGGAGGGCTCAGAGGCTGCGGCCGCCACCAGCATCCAGCTCACTCCCAGGCCCCACCCTGACCGTGCGCCCCCCACCCCTCCAGCCACTGGGTTCAGCCGGCCCTTCCTGGTGATGACTTTCCACACAGAAACGGGCAGCATGCTTTTCCTGGGGAAGGTGGTGAACCCGCTGGGGTAGAGCTCTGCACCTGCTGGGTGACTCAGAGCCAACAGAGAGGAGACACTGACTGGGACACGGAGTCATCCGTGAAGACACCCCGGTGACGTCATCAGGTTGTCTGAGACTGGGTCTCTTTGGAAGTGAAATAGGAGCTATTTTGCCTCAGTGGAGAGGGCGCGAGACCCCTTGGACAGTTTCACGCAGCCACAAAGATAAGCCTGGCCCACGCACCACGACCTCTGTTGCAGAATCAAGTTTCATGAGAAGCGGCGGATGTCCAGCTCACTGGCTCGGTTTTCATGAGTATCCACAGGTTCAAAGAATAAGAGGAATCAAGGCCATGCCCACCATGTGCACACAGGCAGCGACCATGGATGAACTCCCTCTGTGCACCGCTTGCTTTATAGATCGTATCTCATTTAAAAATAATGTCTCTCAGCAACCCAACGAGTATGAGGTGCAATCATAGGAAAGTGGCTTGTATTTGGCCCATTTTTAAATTTTTTAACCTACAAAAAAAGGGCTCTTTTTTATGGTTGAATCTAATATTATTTCTCCCTCTTCATAGTTGAGGATTAGAGAAGCTGAGAAATAAATCCAAGAGGGCTCAGCAGCAAGCAGCAGTCCTGGGATTCGGGCCATTTTATTTCAAAGCCTTGACTGTGTTGTTCTCATCCATTTTGATGAGTTAATGATTCTCAAACTCCACTGTACATACTGACCCCCTGGGGATCTTGTTAAAAAGCAAAACTCTCTTCAACAGGCCAGGGTGGGACCTGAGGGCCTGCATTTCTCAGTGACGCTGAGGCTTCTGCTCTGGTGGCCGCATGTTGAGTAGCAGGTCCCAAATGCTCTTGCCCCTGTAACAGCAGGAAGGGAGGACCTTGTGTCACTAGCAAGGCAGAAGAGTGGCATTGGGTCTTTGATCCCCTTATGGGACTGAGCAAAGTTTCTGGCAATATCTGTTTGAAATCTGCAGACAAAGCTTGCTTTAGGGTCACCTATGAATGGGTGTCCTGGGGGAAAACAAGTGTTCTAAATATTTCTCCTGGTTTTAAGCAAACCATGGGTGTGTATCACCCTCCACCTCAGCCCTCGCATCTGAAGGGAGCCACACAGGCCTGGGACCAGACACATGAGAGACCAAATCCCATACCTGGTGCAAAGCAAGTCCACTGAGGACCAGCTCGACTGAGTCCATTGAGACCCATGCAGACAGGTTACACTAAGCCGGTGTATTACAAACAGGCAGGAAAAGGGTGACAGAACCCTGGGGTCCACTGTGAGCTGGTCCCCCAAAGCCTGGCAAAGTTGCTTTGTCTGTGCATGGCCCACTTGAAATCCAGGATCTCCAGCCTCATCTGGGTCCTCTACCCCAAGCCCACAGAAGATGTTAAGCCAAAGTGCTTACCATGTTTGCTGGGCGTGGTGAGGCACGCCTGTAATCCCAGAGGCTGAGGCAGGAGGATCACGAGTTCAAAGCCAGCCTCAGCAAAAATGAGATGCTAAGCAACTCAGTGAGACCCTGTCTCTAAATAAAATACAAAATAGGGCTGGGGATACAGCCCTGTGGTCGAGTGCCCCCGAGTTCAATCTCCAGTACCCAAAAAGCAAAACAAAACAGAACAGGTGTTTCTAAGGAGAAGTAGAGCAGAGCCCGGTCAGCCCTGGCCAGTCTTTCCCTATCCCAGGCCACTGCTCTCCCTGCACCTTCTAGAGAGATTCTGGAGAATTACAAGTGAGTAGGAGCGGGGAGAACTGGGTCTATGGTGAGGACTGCGATGAGCTGGAGATCCCCTGCCTGATCCAAAGGGGCACCAGTGGTTAGCTGCCTATGAAAGTGGCTTAGACTAGTTTGTATTTGTCCTCACGTGCCAGGGTGGGCTGGCGTGTAGTTCACCCAGGCATCAGGAGCCCTGGCTGGTGGAGCATGTGGGTCTGCCATCCCAGGGGTCTTCTCCACTTGCATGCTCGCAGAGGGCTCACAGCGCCTCCAACTTCCAACCAGCAAGGAGCAGGCAGGAGAAGGGGAAGGACAAACCCATTCCCATGAATGATTCAGCCCACAAGTTACACACGTCCCCAGCTCATGCCCCAGTCACATGGTGCACCCCGCTGCAGAGGCAGGAGAGAGAAGGAGCGTCTGTCTCAGATGACCACCTGCAGGACAGACCTCAGGGCTTCTCTTGAGAAGGAAGGATGAATGGCTGCTGGAGAACCCCTGCCTCAGCCTCAGCTCCCGCCAGCCTCCGGAGGTGTCTCCTGCTGACCCTGTGGGGGTGGAGGCTGCAGCAACTGAGGCCTGACAAGAGCCCAGGGCAGCAGAGCCCCGGCTCCTCGGCCCAAGAGAGGCCAAGAGCCAGAGCCAGCAGAGATCCCAGCACAGGATGGGTAGGCTCTCTTGATGGCCCTTCCATCATTCATTCCACAAGCATCAGCTGAGTGCCTGTGGGAAGCCATTCTCGCACGTGATTAGTTACCTCCCTGGCTGGGTGAGAGGCGCTTAGACAACTGTGTCAGAGCCTTCCCCACCCTGTCCCAGGTACGAGGGCTTGTCTGTGTGGAGGTGTGCCTGGCCACTGACCCGAAGACCAATCACTGACCCTGACCTTGGAATGCTGGCCCACTCAACCTTCATTGAAGTGCCTGCTGTATGCCAGGCACTCGGCATGTGCTCACAGAACTGAAATGATGGGGGTGAGAATGGAGGTAGGAACCCACCCTGCCAGAGAGCCCATGGAGAAGACAAAATCATTTGGCACCCAACACCCCAGTGAGGAGGGCCCTGATACCCTGATCTAAGCGGCTGCTTTAGGGTAGGGTTTTGGGGCATATGGTGAAGAGTGGAGCTGATTTTATATTTTAAGAGGAAAGAAATTATAAGATCAGGCCAACATAGCATGTTTGGAGGAATGGTCAGAGCCCAGGGGCTGCCATCTTGGACCCCAACACCCCTGGACAATTCAGTCTTTCAGAGAAGAGTCCAGCAAGAAGTCCAGCCTGCACCCGTTGGTCCTACCAGAACACCTGTCTTCAGGCCCATTATGTGTAACACCCAGAGGCAACAAGTCCCTAATAGTAGAAGAGCTGGTGACATCTCCATGCCCGCCAGTGACCCACCTCGCCCAGGGGCATGGCCACCTACTAGTTAGGAGCGAGTTCATCTCCCTGCTTGGTCTGTACTTTGTAGCACGTTTCACTCCTCCATCTCTGTATACATGGTCGGGAAGCACCCTCATCATGCACGGGGGTGATGTTAGCACCTGCCCCACAGGGTGTGGAGGTGGAAGGAGTCAATGAAGGTGAAGTGTTTAGAGCTTTCCTCACAACAGGTCAGTGCCAGAGGAGGGCACACTCCTGTC